CTTCTTGCCTCAGCCTCCTGAATAGCTGGGGTTGCAAGCATGAATCACTTGCTGAGTTATATTACCTTAGTAAATCATGTCAAAGAGCTAACTAAATGAAAACAGTATATAAATAAGTTAGCACCCAGGCATGGTGGTACACGCCTGTCATCCAGGAAGTTAATAGGCTGAGGCAGGAGGATTGTCAGGAGTTCGAGGCCAACCTGGGCTATAGAGTGAGACCCTCTCTCAGAACCAAACAAAAAGTAATGGAATGGCCTGTGTGAAAGCGCATCCAATGCCGTGACCTGGTGACAGTTTCTCCACTTAGAAGCAGCAGAAGCATGACCTTGAAAATGTGACCTCGGTAAGGCAGGAGCTGTTATTTGCAGGAGAGCTGCTTAGATCTGACGGGCCTGAGTCTCCCAGTGTACTGTGGCTCTGGGGGCCTCACGGGTCTCTGTGCTGCCCACCACAGGTTTAGCTAGCGACATCCTCATCCATGGCATGAAGGCCCGGAACCGCGCCATTCATGGGGATGTAGTGGTTGTGGAGCTGCTCCCGAAGGGTGAATGGAAGGGAAGGACCGGCGCCCTGTGTGACAACGACAGTGAGGACAAAGTCTCGGGCGAGGCCCCCAGTGAGCCCATGCCCACAGGTGAGCCACGTAGCCCCTGGAATTGCTACTTCCCTGCCTACCAGGTAGCCTGTATCAAAATACAAAAAAAAAAAAAAAAAGATAAAATCATTGACTTTTCTTTTTTTGGCGGAACCTGGGATTCAACTCAGGCCCTTGCAAATCATTGACCTTTCCCAGTGGACTGGTCTGAGAGAGAAAGGTGAAAGAGCACAGGGACAAGTGGGTTCTGGGTGTTGCATCAGGCTCAGAAGAGAGGCCATGTGGGTCCTATACTAAATCACTTATCCTAAAAGACAACCCATCTTCAACACACTAAGAAGGCAGATCTCTGACACCTCTTTACCCACGTGCCTGTGACCGAGAAAACTGGCTCTTTGCACTTCTCCTCTGCTTCCATCCCACAGAGCTGGTCACGGCCAGGGGAGGTGACATGCGAGCCGGTCACACCTCGTTCTTTCTCTTCCTTCTTCCCAAAGGCCGCGTGGTTGGTGTCCTTCAGAAGAACTGGCGTGATTATGTGGTGACATTCCCATCCCGGGAGGAAGTCCAGTGTCAGGGAAGAAATGCCCAGAAGATCCTGGTCACCCCGTGGGATTACAGAATCCCCAAGATTCGCATTAGCACCCAGCAAGCCGAAGCCCTGCAGGTAGCTGACATGCAGTCTCTGTTCTCTTTCTATCTCTGCCAACCGATGCAGGAAGCGCTGTGAGTTCCTCCGCCTAAGAGGAAATCAATTATTGATGGATTCTGGCACTTTAAGATCCTGTTTTTTAAAAATTCTAAATATATAAGAACTATCTGTTAAGTAGTCCATGGTTAATAAATGAAGGCTGGAGCAGAATCGTCCTAGAAAGAACTCTGTAGGACAGGCAGAGTGAACATACATTATCCTGCCGTCCAACCCAGAAACTTTGAATAGCTTCGCCTTGCCAACACTAACAAGCTTGCTTCCAGCCCGCGATGCAGAAATACGATCGCTTGGGCCTGCAGGGATGATGTAGTGGTACTTCGCAGAATTGATTCTCCATAACGGCTCACAGCGCTGGAGAGAAGACGGAAACGGGAAAGTTAGAAGTTAACCTGGTGGCTCGGCATGCAGGCCTGGCCCAGCTCTGCAGTGTGCAAATGAGATAACGAAGCTGAATGTCCCCAGCCACTGACCCGCCTGGTCGTTGTCCCTCTTCCTCTGGAGGCTTTTGCGGACCCTCTGAGGCCACTAGCTGCAGCCACCACTATTTCCGTTTCTTGGGTTTACCCAAATTGTCAGGCAGTAGGAGTCCAGCTTACATTGACACCTTCTTTTCCCCTAAAGAGCATCTTAAAGTTTCGAGAAAATTAGACCTCACCCATAATTCCAGCACTCAGGAGGCTGAGGCAGGGGCATCATCATGAGTTCGAGGCCAGCCTGAACTGTAGAGCAAGATCCTGTCTCAAACAAAAAAAAGAAAAAAGAGCTATACAGGGACCACGTATAATTGGTTTTTCCCTTTGTGTTACAAGTGTTAACTAACTTTAACTGACTGAAATTTCCAGTCCATTAACTTGAGGTAATGCCTCCTTTCAAAGTATCAACCTTGGCCAGGGATATAGCTCGGCAGCATAAGTGCCTGCCTGGCAATGCAAGGTCCCAAGTTCAATCCCCGGTACCACAAAAAATAGGTAAACTGCAGATCACCTCTCTCTCTGGAACCCAGTGCTATTTATCACCTCACTTTTATTTTCCCTCTATGCAGGAATTTAGGGTGGTCGTGCGCATCGATTCCTGGGAGTCCACGTCCCTGTACCCAAACGGACACTTCGTCCGCGTGTTAGGGAGAATCGGCGACCTGGAAGGGGAGATCGCCACCATCCTGGTGGAAAACAGCATCTTGGTTGGGCCCTTCTCGGAGGCTCAGGTCAGACTTCCCCGGGGCCTTGGGCTTTGCCAGGGACACTTCCATTTTTGGTTTTGTTGTAGTTGCATCATTAAAGACCCACCTGGGAGCCAGGTGTGGTGGTGCACACCTGTGATCCCAGCACTGGGAGGCTGCGGCCGAATGACTGCTGCTAGTTAGAGGCCAGCCTGGCTGCATAGTGAGTTTAAGGCCAGCCAGAACCGTGTCGCAAGACCCTGTCTCAAAAAGACGAGGGAAGAAAACCAGGAAGGAAGAAGGCAAGAGAGAGAGGAAAGGAAAGTGGGGATGGGGTGCAGGCAAGCAGACAAATCTTTATTCTGTGGAACAGTCTACTATCTAAAGCCACCGGATAATGAAAACATTCTCCCTCCTCTTTATTCTGTATTTGCCTTGAGGGTTTGTTTGTTTGTTTTTGCTTTTGTTCTTTGGAGAGAGGGTCTTGATTCAGCACCCCAAGCCCCAGGGTTACAGGCATCCTGCACCAGGTCTGGCTTTTTTGTTTTTTTTGTGGGGGTTTTTGGGCACTGCAAATTGAACTCATCACCTCACACGTTCCAGGCAGGAGCTGTGTCACTGAGCTCAATCCCCGGCTCTTGGTTTTATTCTGTATCTGGACCGCACTAAAGTCAGCTGCAGGTATGCAGCTGTTTCCTACAGTCTCCCAGCTCTCAAATGTTCACGTTTTCCAACTATGCTTAGCTCTCCAGGCGTGGTGGTGCACGCCTGGAATCCTGGCACTTGGGAGGCCGAGGCAGGAGGAGCGCATGTGTCAGAGGCCAGCCTGAGCTACGTATCGAGAACTTGTCTCAAAAAAAAGGGGACGGGGGGACAACACCAGCTTGCCAGGGTCTCAGGGTCAGTGCCTCAAGAACACTCTTTTAGGCACCCAGGATGTCCCTTAGACGTCACAACCCTTCAGCCCCAGCCGCGAAGGCTGCTGGGAACAGCATCCTGTACCCATGCACCTCCCGCCCCGGGTCAGAAAACCATGCTCCTTAGGAGGCTCTTCTGCTAACCTTTACAGAAGACAAAACTCCCATGACCATTAACCATCAGCTATTTCCGTCACTTTATGATCTTTCAGAATCCGCATCAATCTTGTTTATTATCCTCGCCTCGCCGTATCCGAGGGTGCACTTATTCTCTGTTCTGCTTCTTTCACTTAAAATTATTTCTCTGCATTGACACAGCCTACTTATAAAATAAGCAGTGCGCGGGACAAATGGCTGTGCCTTTTGCTTCAGCATTCCTCAATCATTAGGCATCGGGGCTGCTTAATTTCTCAGTCCTATATTATAAAAAACTGCTTTCAAATTTTTTTTTATGAATACTCTCCCCTGTATTTTTTTTCCTTTTTTGATTATTCCCTTGGAGTGGGACCCTGAAAGTGAGATTACCAAGCCAAAGGGTACCAAAATGTGAACAACTTTCATTATGTACTGGCAGTTTCCTTGTAAAATTGGGCCCGTCTCCATTAGCACCAGGAGTGGATGGATATTCTTATTAGCTTCACAGTTTTTGACAGAGTAGGAGCTATAACAGGAAGATACTTTGGAATATTTTATATTAAACTTTTATGTTTTAACATTCATTTCTGGAAATGATTTGTTGACTTACTTGGTAGCTCTTAGTGAAAACACTAGAATAAAATAAAGTGTGAATTAAAATTACAGGACTAGAATTCACTCTCCCCTCTTAGCCTACTTAACTGCAAATTGATGGCTTATCTAGGTAATAATGGAGAGAAAATGCCCTAGATTGGTCCTATTTAAATTATCTTAAAGGAATTTTTCTCCCCCCCCCTTTTTTTGGTTGTTTATTGTTGTCATTATTAATATGAAAGACAGGATCTCACTGTGTAGTCCAAGCTGACCTTGAAATCACTGTGTAGCCCAAACTTACCTTGAAGTCTCAGCGATCCTCCTGCCTCTGCCTCCTAAGAGCTGGGGTTACAGGTGCACACCCCCACATGCAGTTTAGCTTTTCTTAACTTGGGACATGTTGACTGTTTTCCAGAGCTTGACTTGAATTAAACGTTCAACAACATTCAAACAAATGGATGGGGCTGAGTTTAGTTACATGCACCTATAATCCCAGCTCTTAGGAAGCTAAGGGAGGAGGCTTGCCCCAAGTTTGAGGCCAGCCTGGGCTACAAAGTGACTTCTTTTCTTTTCTTTCTTTTTTTTTTTTTTTTTGACAGAGCCGGGGATTGAACTCAGGCCCTTGCGCTTGCCAGGCAAGCGCTTATTCTACTGAGCTATCTCACTGGCCCCATACAAAGTGATTTCAAGGCCAGCCTCAAGTGCATAGTGAGACCCTGTCTCAAAAAGAAAAAAAAAAGGAAAAAGAAAGACAAATCAAACGTGGATCACGGGCTGGTGAGATGGCTCAGTGGTCTAAAGCACCTACTTAGAACAAGCTAAGCTAAGCAAAACACAGGGACCGCGGTTCAATCCCCAGCACCACATGCTAGCCAGGCCCGCCCCCTGGTGGGCTGAGCTGGCCACACACACACTAAATAAAAACAAATAAATAAATAAATATAAAAAAAAAACATGGATCACTTGGGAATGGGGTACACTTTACCCTCTCCTGAGCCACCCACTCTTGCCCAGTCCCCATAATTGATGAGGCTGACAGAAGTGACTTCCTGAGACATTTCCAGTCAGTTTCAGAGGCCTTCAAGAGTATGTTTTTGGAGTTGGGGAGATGGCTTAGTAGAATAAGCACTTCCCTGGCAAGCACAAGGGCCTGAGTTCAATTCCCCAGTTCCACAAAAAAAAAAAAAACGAGTATGTTTTCTGGGGCTGGGGAAATAGATCAGTAGAATAAGGGCTTGCCTGGCAATCTCAAGGGCCTGAGTTCATTTCCCAGTTCTGCAAACAAAAAAAAAAAAGAGAGAGAGAGAGGGTATGTTTTCTGGGGAGCCCTGACTTTCCTGAGCTGCGCCCAGAACCTGACATACTTGAGGCACCTAATGAATAATTCTTGCCCAAAGACTTGAACCGGGCTGGCAGAGAAGGTGACTGGGTGAGCGTTTCCCTCCACACTCACATCAAGATTGCAAGCACAGACGTCTCGCTCTGGTGCTCAGGTGGCTGAGGGTGTGGCCTCTCCACAGCTGTGCGAGATGCCGGTGAACACCCCCGAGAAGCCCTGGCAGGTGAGCGCCGAGGAGGAGCACCAGAGGAGAGACCTGCGGCGAACCCACCTGGTGTTCAGCATCGACCCCAAGGGCTGTGAGGACGTGGATGATGCGCTGTCCATCAGGACCCTGAGTGACGGCGACCTGGAGCTCGGGGTCCACATCGCAGATGTCACCCACTTCGTGGCTCCCAATTCTTACGTTGACGTGGAAGCTAGAACGAGGTAGGGTTGTGTCGATCATCGCTGTACATTGCTGTGGTCATGTGCGTGGCCGGCGTTGGACACTGATCTAATGTGCAGAATTCTGAGAATCCCTCATGGAAAAAAAAAAATGCAGCACTCCCCTCCCTGGCTCTTTTAAGAACAATCATCCTTTTGCCGGATGTGCTGGTGCACACCAGGAATCCCAGCACTTGGAAAGCTGACGCGGGAAGATCGCCATGAGGTTGAGGTCAGCCTGGACTGCAGAGTGAGGCCCTGTCTCAAAAAACAAAAACAGGCTGGGGGTGTGGCTCAGTGGTGGAGCTCTGGCCTCAAATGCAAAAGGCCCTGGGTTTGATCTCTAGCACCAGCCAAAAGCAACAGCATAAAATAGGACTTTGATCAACTTACCTTTCCTCTTAACTTTTCTATGCATTATTTCCTACCAAATGGAAATGAGTTCTATTTTCATGCAGTAACATACTGTATAAAGACTGTGTTACTACATTGTAGTTTTTCTTAAACAGCCAAGATGTGTGTCATTGTCTTGTTCTTTAAGCAGTAGCCAGGTTTATGTGAGAGGCTCTGCAGAGCGAGGCCGGCCTCTCTGAGGGGGCCAAGTGAAAGGAAAAAGAGCACCCCAGAGAAAGGACGGTCATGGTGAGGAGCGGCGAGACGGCTGTTTTGGTCTTTTAAAGCCGGGTCTCACAGTGTAGCACATGCTGGCCTCGAGCTCCTAGTGATCCGAGCAAGGGCTGGGATCGCAGACACGCGGCAAACTATGGAGCAGTTTTTTCTTTTTTTTTTCTTTTTTTTTCTTTTCTGTATTTTAGGGACATGTCTACAGGGTGTTCAGGGTCTCACTACAAGATCGGACTCGTAGTGATCCGCCTGTTTACAGCCTCCCAAGAGCTGGGGTTACAGGCGCGTACCACCACGCCCCATCTCTGGAGCAGTTTTTCTTTATTCCATCAGTAGATTTTTCAGCCCAAAGCTGAACTGTAGGCAAGTGGGCAGCTGGGAGTCATTTTGTGACACAGCTGGCACCTGTCCTGGGGAGCCTGTTGGGGTCCCGGCTGCCCCTCCCCTGCTGAAGGTCAGCCATGCCTCTGTCATTCTCTGCAGGGCCACCACGTACTACCTAGCGGATCGGCGCTATGACATGCTGCCCTCTGCCCTCAGCGCCGACCTGTGCTCCCTCCTGGGAGGCGTGGACAGGTGAGTTACCCTTGTTACCTTCAAGGCCTGTCGCAGCCCGGCCGCCGCACCCTGCGCTCCTCCATGTTCTGCGCTGCAGTTCCCTCGCAGTCCTCTTCTCCCTGCTGTTGGCTTTTGAAAGTCTGGGAGCAAATGTGTGTGGCTCTGAGCACACACAGGCCTGTGGGAGCTGTTTGGTGCGCCAAAGACACACTTAAGGAGTTTTCCTTCGTTGTAAAGCTTGCCTTTGAATAGGTAATAAAAATTATGTTTCCCAAGACCCAACCTGCAGGTTCCAAGAGTTAATTGAAAGACAGCTTCCATCCGAGCACCTGCTCAACTGCCAGTTTCTTGTTCACTAGATTTAGTTACACACACAAGCCAGGAGTGGTGGTGCACGCCTATAATCCCAGCACTTGGGAGCTGAGGCAGGAGGACTGCTGTGAATTCAAGGCCAGCTTGGGCTACATAAGCGAGTTTAAGGCCAGCCTGAATAGCCTAGCAAAGCTGTCTCAAAAACCCAAAAGACAGAAATAATCACACACTCACACACACACACACACACACACACACACACACAAATATGGATACTTGCTTTTTGTTTTGTTGTGTTTTGTTTTTTGGCAGAACTGGGAATTGAACTCAGGCCCTTGTGCTTGCCAGGCAAGTGCTTATTCTACTGAGCCATCTCCCCGGGCCCTGGATACTTTTTTTTTTTTTTTGGTGGAACCGGGGATTGAACTCAGGCCCTTGCGCTTGCCAGGGAAGCGCTTATTCCACTGAGCCATCTCCCCGGCCCCTGGATACTTGTTTTTAATGGTAGCATTACACACACATGTTCACAATATCTAATATCTTTTTGTTCTGGATTTCATGGGCCTTGGGATCATTTTATTGAGTGATAGCGGCTTATCTGTGCAAATTTGGATAATTCACAGTCTGTCACTGTTCAAAACAAAGCTACCTTGAATTCTCAACCCGTCTCACACATGTAAGCCCAGCTGAAGGAGACATTCCTAAAGTGCCATTTGTGTGTCAAGGCAGATGCGTTTGTGTTTACATCAACATAACACAGTTTCCTTCCGAGGAGGTTACTGTAATCATATTTCCACCATCGGTGTGTGGGGATGTTTCTTTTCCCCACAGCCTCACCAGTGCAGTATGTGGTAGAGTTTTTGTTTTGTTTTGTTTTGTTTTGTTTTGTTTTTGTGATAGACTTTTATCTTAGCCAGTTGGATAGATGAAAAATAGAGCGGCCGGGGCTGTTGCTGGGGAGTGAAGTGCGTGCTCTGCATGCGTGAGGCCCTGGCTTCAATCTTCAGCATAAAAAATAAGTATCTCAGAGTGGTCTTTTTTTTTTTTTTTTTTTTTTTTTTTTTTTTTTTTTTAATTTACTTATTTATTTGTGTGTGTGTGTGTGTATGTGTGTGTGTGGCCTGCTCAGCCCACCAGGGAGCGGGGCTGGCTGGCATGTGGTGCTGGGGGATTGAACCGCGGTCCCTGTGCTTTGCTAAGCTTGTTCTAAGTAGGTGCTTTAGACCACTGAGCCATCTCACCAGCCCTCTCAGAGTGGTCTTAATCCACGTTTTCCAACTAGTTTAACTGGCATTTACATACTTCTGTAAATTATGTATTTCCTACTCTTTGCCCACTTTTCATTGGGTTTATGATTCACTACTAATTTGTAAAAGCTTTTTACATATCAGGAAAAGGAATCCTTTTGATATATGGGTAATTAGTATGTATATTCCTAAACAGAATGTTTTGGTAAATTCAGCAAAATTCATTTGCTAAAATGAATTTTCACTAATTAACCAGCCATCAAGGGTTATAGATATCAAGGTTGCAACAGCATGGTTCTGCCTTTGGGATTTAAAAAGCTTGACTGTAATTTCCTGAGTCTTCCATAAACCCAGCATTCAGGAGGCTGAGGCAGGAGGATTGCTGCAGATGCAATGATGGCATGAACTACATACCTCGACCCTGTCTCAAAAGAACAAAACAATAGCACAAGTAAGTCATGTGATTGTCAATGTTACCGGTCTTGTAGGTACGCTGTGAGCGTCATGTGGCAACTGGATAAAACCTCGTATGAAATCAAAGCGGTGTGGTACGGCAGAACCATCATTCGGTCCGCTTACAAACTGTGCTATGAAGCGGCCCAGGAGCTCCTGGCTAGAAACTTTGGCGTCGCTGATGAGATCCCAGAATTCAAAAGCTTGGATGAGAAAAGCAGACAAACCAGGCTGGAGGAGTTGGCGTGGGCCGTCGGGAGGCTGGCGGACGTCGCGCGGCACGTGCGGGCCAAGCGCGACCGCTGTGGGGCGCTGGAGCTGGAGGGCATGGAGGTTCGCGTCCAGCTGGACGAGAAAAAGAACATCGACGACCTCATCCCCAAGCAGCCCCTGGAGGTGCACGAGATGGTGGCCGAATGCATGATCCTGGCCAACCACTGGGTGGCCAGGAAGATCTGGGAGAGCTTCCCCCACCAGGCCCTGCTGCGCCAGCACCCGCCGCCCCACCAGGAGTTCTTCGCTGAGCTCCGCGAGTGCGCTGCGGCCAAGGGCTTCGCCATCGACACTCGGTAGCGATCCGATCCGGCGGGGTGGGGGCGTGGGGTGGGCGCGTAGTTGGTGGTCGTTTATGACGGGCACAGGAGGACGTGTGAGCCAAACTAGGAGACTTGGCTGTCATTTACCTTAATGTTACGTACAAAATTGTCTCTGGGTGTTTTTGAGACAGGGGCTTGCTGTGCAGCCCAGGCTTGCCTTGCACTTCTGGTGGTCTTCCTGCCTCAGCCTCCCCCGTGCTGAAGTTACAGGTGTGTGCCACCATGCCCAGCTTATTTTAACACTTTCAAAATGCAGCCTAACCTGTGTGTTTTGTTTTATTTTTGAGACGGGGCCTAAGTCCCTGTTGGCCATGGTGACCTCCAATTTGCGATGCTCCTGCCTCAGCCTCCCGGAGTGCTGGGGTTATAGGCATTGCCCATGATGCGCTCTTTAGTGACCACTTGATCACGTTGCCTCTGTATTCAGTGTCATTGTGTGTTCGCTTTCCTCTTTTTTTTTTTTTTTTTTATACGGTACAGGGGATTGAACTCAGGACCCTGAGCTTGCCAGGCAGATGCTTATTCCACTGAGCTATCTCCCCAACCCTCCTTTCACTCTTAGCCACAATATAGAACTGAATTATATGTTGTTTTATTAGTTTTATTTCTGATACTTCTGTATTTCCTCAGCCTTAAACATTATTTTAAGAATACAAAAATAGAATACTTCCTATATCTCTCTCTCTTTAAAAAAAAAAAAAAAAAGGAAGTTTAAGCATATAATCCCAGGGCCAGGGAGATAGCTCAGTAGAATAAGTGCTTGCCTGCAAGCTCAAGGGCCTGAGCTCAATCCCTGGTTCTGCCAAAACAGAACGAGTAAGCATATGATCCCAGCCACTCAGGAGGCTGAAACAGGAGGATCGCAAATTTACAAGATCATGTCTCAAAAAATAAAGAGGCCTGGGGATGTAGGTCATTGGTAAATTAGTGGGATTGGATCCCCAGGACTACAAAATGAATGAAATAATTGCTGTTATTATTTAAGGATTTTTAATGTACCTTACATTTTGTTTTGCTTTAGTTATTGGTTGAGATAGGGTCTTGCAGTGCTGGTCCTGGATTTCTGGCCTCAGGTGATCCTCCTGCCTCACCCTCCTGGATCCTGGGACTGTTTGACACACGTCACTGTGGCCAGCTGCTTTGTTTTCTCAAATTCCCTGTGGCCCACTAGTTCTTGACAGAATTAAAAGGAAGAGCAGTTGGGCATGGGTGTATGTCTGTGATCCCAGCACTTGGATGGCTGAGGCAGGAGGGTTGCCATGAGTTGAGACACCAGCCTGGGTTACATAGTGAACCGAGGCCAGTCCGAACTACATAGTAAGACCCTGTCTTTAAAAAAAAGAGAGAAAGGGCCGGGGAGATGGCTCAGTGGTCTAAAGCACCTACTTGAAACAAGCTTGGCAAAGCACAGGGACCACGGTTCGATCCCCAGCACCACATGCCAGCCACCCCGCCCCCTCGTGGGCTGAGCTGGCCACACACACACACACAATAAATAAATGTAATAAATAAAAATAAATAATTAAAAAAAAAAAAGAGAGAGAAAAGCCAAGCCAAGCCCCATTTGTGGCCAGTGTAATATATATAAAGTTAAATGTGTTAAGAATTTGGTTCGGTGGGAATTAGCCTGCATCTTAGCGCCAAGCATCATTCACCCCAGCATTGAACAGCACATTCCTCTCTCCCTTAAGAAGTTTATTCAAGCCAAGCGCGGTAGTACACATCTTGCCCCAGTACTCTAGAACGCTGAAGCAGGAGGGTCACCAAAACTCTGAAGACAGCCTGGGCTATATAAGCAAGACCCTGTCGCAAGGGAAACAAAAATCTACTCAAATGCTGACATTTTTTGCTTTGTTTAAACCTTAACGCCAAACTGGTGCTCTCTCTGTGGTGAAAAGCGTTGCTTGTGAAACGCTGAAGACACATTTCGTGGCTGGCAGATGGTGGAGTTCAGCCCAGCACGCCAAGGCTTCCCGTGGGAGCGGGCTTGTGACGCACCTTCCAGGGCTACATCCGCTTTTTCTCTTCCTGGTCAGGTCCAACAAGGCGCTGGCCGACTCTCTGGCTAAGGCAGAGGACCCCGGCGACCCCACGGTGAACCGGCTGCTGCGCTCCATGGCCACGCAGGCCATGTCCAACGCGCTGTACTTCTCGACCGGCTCCTGTGCGGAGGAGGAATTCCAGCACTACGGTGAATGACCCTCTTCTCTCACTTGTGGCAGGACCTTGAGCAGGCTGTTTAGTAGGTGTATGAATACACTTCCTATTCTGACAGTGGTTTCTTTTCCGAAGGTCTCGCCTTAGATAAATACACCCACTTTACCTCTCCAATAAGAAGATACTCGGATATTGTAGTACACCGCCTATTGATGGCAGCCATTTCAAAAGATAAGAAAACAGAAATTAAAGAAAATTTATTAAGCAACAAAGATCTTGAGGAACTGTGCAGACATATCAACAACAGAAACCGAGTAAGTTTTTTTTTTTGTTTTTTTTGGTGGAACCGGGGATTGAACGCAGGCCTTTGCGCTCGCCAGGGAAGTGCTTATTCCACTGAGCCATCTCTCCGGCCCCCGAAACCGAGTAAGTTTAAAAATTCCCTTACCTGTGGGCCTGGTAGTGCCTGCATGTAGTCCTAGCATTCTGGAAGATCACTGAGTTCGAGACCAGCCTGCGCTACAGAGTGAGCTTAAGGCCAGCCTGAGCTGCATAGCGAGACCCTATCTCGAAAAGACCAAAAAAAGAGAGGGTCATACTATATAACTCAGGCTGCCCTTGAACTCACAGTAGTCCTCCTGCTTCAGCCTCCCATGTACTGGGATATAGGGATGCCCAGCTAAATTCGGCAATTATTCGAGCCAGCGCTGTCTGGTGTGCTTGTATTTATACCAAGGCATGTTACAGCTGATGCAGTAGCTAATACAAAGTCACAGTAAACCTGAACATGTAGAACACAAACATAACATTAGATGTGAATTTATTAAGGTGTGCATTGCCGTTCTTAGTGGTGCACACCTATACCCAGCACTCAGGAGGCTGAGGCAGGAGCATCACCATGAGTTCAAACACTGCCTGACGTACATAGTAAGATCCTGTTTCAAAAAACTAAGTTAACTAAACACATTAACTTACGTGGATTTGAGGATTTCAGTTTGTGTTTTTGAGATGAGGTCTCACCATGCTGCCCAAGCTAATCTCAAATTTATAAGGCTCAAATAATCAGCCTCAGCCTTCTAAGCCGCACCACCAAGCCTCACTTGGATTTGGAAGGTGTGGCAATGCGTTGGTTTATCCAAAAGGTGGATAGGTAAAGGTGCAAACAACACCTAAAGATATGAAGCCAGGCACACACCCGTAATCTCAGCATTCAAGAGGCTGATGCAGGAGGATCATCACGAGTTCTAGGTCTGTTTGAGCTAGATAGTGAATTTAAGACTAGGCTAAACTACGCAATGAGACCCTCTCAAAAATTTTGTAAAAGGGTATGAAAACAGAAAACTCATCCATCCCATCACCCAGAGATAATCATTACTAACAATTCTAGACAGTCTTACATCCTCATTTATAGAAATGCACCTATGTGAAATCGGTTTTCACTTCACATACTTACTGATAGCACAGCGTGTCAGTGACTGCCGTGGACCCTTATCGTACGAGCTACTTTGCATTGTATTGCACACTGTCACTAGCAGCTGTAAGACTGCACAGCATAGAACTGGACCATTGGGTGACACAGAAAACTGGAAACCGGGCAGAGCACAGCGGCCAGGGTTTGATACCTGGCCTGCCATGCTGGCCCCGCCCATGGGACGTGCTGAGACAGCGATTGAGACCGGGCCTGGTGGCCCGCGCCTGTAATCCCAGCACTTGGGAGGCTGATCTACTTAGTGAGAAAAAAACCCCTAAAAGCCATGTAATTGTTCAATATTTTCTATAGCCAGTATTCTAATTCTGTTGTACAATACTGTAGCACGAGCCATGTTCATATCTAGATTAACTAACACTAAAAATTCAGTTCCTTGGGGTTTTGTTAAAGACAGGCTCTCCACTGTGTAGCTCAGGCTGGCCTCAAATTCCCTGGGATCCTCCTGCCTCAGCCTCCTGAGTGCTGAGCTCACTGCTGCGCACCATCAGGCCTGGCTGCATCTAACTTTTAAAGAGGCTGTGAGGATATGCGTCTATTTCTTGTGGGAATCTCAGGGCAGTTCTAATCCTCTGGGTTCTGCTTCTCAGGCAGCACAGCATTCTCAGAAGCAGTCTACCGAGCTCTTCCAGTGCATGTACTTTAAAGACAAAGACCCTGGGACTGAGGAGCGCTGCACAGCCGACGGTGTTATTTACTCCATTAGAACGAATGGTGTGCTAGTATTTATACCAAGGTATGTTACAGCTGATGCAGTAGCTAATACAAAGTCACAGTAAACCTGAACGTGTAGAACGCAAACATAACATTAGATGTGAATTTATTAAGGTGTGCGTTGCCATTCTTAGTGGTGCACACCTATACCCAGCACCCAGGAGGCTGAGGCAGGAGCATCACCATGAGTTCAAACACTGCCTGACGTACATAGTAAGATCCTGTTTCAAAAAACTAAATAAATGAGAAGTACTTCTTTGGGCTGCGGGTGTAGGTCAGTGCCAGAGTACTTGTCTGGAGTGCACAGTGCTTTTTGGGCTCAATTCCCAACAGCACCAAAGAGAAAAAATAATTTCACTCTGCAGTTCAGACTGGCCTTGAAATCACTACGTAGCCCGGGCTGCCTCACACTTGCGGTGATCTTCTGGCCTTAGGCTCCCACGTGCTGGGATTATAGGACTGCACTAGCATACCTGGCCCAGTAAATTTAAGCAACTATTTAAATTTAAGCAACTATTTATGAAATGATCAATTAATTACACGATGTAATGTATAGCTCGGCATATAATTGGGAAATGAAGGCCACAGAGAAAGTCCGTGTCTAGGCCAGCATCTTATTTACAAGGCTTTTGTGTTCCCTCTGTTAAGAGTAAATATTTGGAGGCAAAGCACAAGAAGAGTGACTTGGTTTTCATCCAGATAAACATGCAAGATCTGCATAGTAAGAGGACATTAACTCTGGATCTTTATTTCAACTACGACTCAGGTTTGGGATTAAAGGTGCTGCTTATCTAAAAAATAAAGATGGTTTGGTGATGTCGTGTGGCCCGGAAGGCCACTTGGAGTGGAAACCAGGTTCTCTGCAGAGATTTCAAGATAAAATCATCTCCACCACGATGGGAGGGGACTCGGTCACACTCCACCTGTTCGACCATGTCACGGTGAGTGCGTCTGTGGAGGCACTGCCTTCGGTGGGACGAGGAGGGGGACCTGCTGACGTGTGCCTCTCCTCCGTGACAGGTCAGGATATCCGTGCAGGCCTCACGCTGCCATTCGGACACAATCAGGCTGGAGCTCGTCAGCAACAAACCATATGAGGTCCCAAGCTCGGGGCTCTCCTCACCGAGCCCACTCCTGCTGAAGAGTGACTTAGTGAGGGAAGTCACCAGGTGCTCAGAGGAGGCCCAGCTGGCCCAGGAGGTGGCAGTGGACACCTCTCGGGAGGAATATCCGGAGTATGGCCAGACCAAGGGCCGAAGCCTGTATGCGCTACTGGAGGAGATCCGGGACCTGGCACTCTTGGATGTGTCAGGGGACTACAGCATCTGAGAGAGTCCTGCTTCCTTAGAGAGCTTCGTTGGTGTTTTACCATCTTCCCAAACCCACTTGATGTGCCATCTCTTGGTGCCCAGGACCAAGCAGATATCTTCCATGTCGTGTTCTCTCCTGGTTCGCTGGCATTGCTGTAAATACACAAGGTCACTGAACACGCAAGTTTTAGTCCTGAGCGGACAGGGAACGGTGCTTTCCAGGGTCACCTGCTGGCCTCTTTTTTATAAACCCAGGATTTTAAGTTGTCTGGTCTCAGTTCTCTCAAAGTTTAATGGCTGGGGACATAGCACTTGGCTCGAACATGTGAGGCTCTGGGTTCCAACCCCAGCACCATTTAAGAAAAAGCCCTGCAATGGGCTGCTTGGGTCTGAGGGCACTCTGGCTCAGAGAGCTTTTTTTTAGTTACTTGCAGTAAGACCTGTCCTGTCCACCTCCCCACTTTAAAGCTGTTTCCCACTTGCTGTACACATTCCCAGTTGTGCTGGCACCAGAGGACAGGGCACACAGGAGGAGGTGGGGTGCACAGAGAGGCTTGTCTGCACCCTTCTGTTGAGTGCCCCTCAGATGAGCTGACCCCCCCACACACACACTGGGAGCTTGTTAAGTCTGTCAGCAAAACCAGCACCAGGCGCAAAGGCCTAAATTCAATCCCTGGTGCCGCCCCCACCCCCATGCCCAAAGAAAAAGCACCAGGCAGGAAAAGAACTGCCCCAGACCAGACCCCGAGTATGGACAGAGATCTGACCAGGACACCAAGAAACTTGTAACCCTCTGGCCTCAGTCTCCCAAGTGATGGTGTCACAGGTGTATGCCCCCCACACCCTGCTCAGTGCCACCTTGAGGCCATGCTGTCTTCTAACCCTTTCCCCCACAAGCCCCACACCCCCCCGTTTTCCCGTGCTCCACTTTTTGGCTTTGCAACCAGGCCATCTTGGCACTGTCCCTGCCCCAGTCAGTGACCTGGAAGAGCACACGACAGCTGCTATCCCCGCTTTGGACAGAAGCCACTCTACGCGCCATTCTCCACCATCCTACAGGGAGAGGCAAGGGCTTTGTTGTCCATCTCCCCGGCTCCCCGGTGGCCGTCCAGGCCTCTCTGCTATGGATCCCTCCCTGGGCCAAGGACAAAGCTCCTACCAACCTCCCGTGAGCACCCTACGCTGGCACAGGCAGGAAGAGCTACAAGCAGCCCTACGGTCCCCACTCCCACGCTCCTGGCTCATGTCTGTCCCTGCACCATTCGCCCCAAGGCTCGCATCTCCACCCAATGAAGCCCTGCCTGTGGCTGTGTCCCCTGGCACACCGCGGGTCCCCTCGGCTGGTCCCAGCAATGGCCAGGCCTCAGCACAGCCCTACCCTTGTGGGTCAGGGCGACCACCCCAAACACATGCCAATTCATGCTGTAGTGAAAGTGTAACTCACTGAAGGAGTGATGGAAGACTTTAACACCACCAGCTTAAAAAAATCATTTTTATTTTAAAAAGACATTAATGGTCAGAACATATTTACATCTTCAACATGACCCCATTTCGTCAGCACAGCCATTTAGTGTCCACTGGCGGCGGCAACAGCAGCAAGAGCGCAGCTTATTCACTGTTAATCATTCATGAGGTCACAGCTGTATAACAATAGCACTCCAGATGACAAACAGGCTGAACTAAGTCAATAAGGGACAAACATAAATAAACACGACTTTAATTAGGATTTTGCATGTATTCTACCACCTAAGAATTTTCCTACAGAGTAAACAAAATACAAATGGCAAGCGTGCAGAATGTCGAGTTGATGCTCGGTGGAGGCCCTAACGCCCTCAGCAACCGTGCAGCACGGAGCTCTACGTTTTGTTATTTTGGTGTTTTGAGACAGGGTCTTGCTATGGAGTTCATGCTGGCCTTGAACACACTATGTAGCCCAGGCTGGCCTCAAACTCACAGTGATCTTCCTGCCTCAGCCTCCCCAATGCCAGGGTTACAGATGAGCACCACCATGCCCAGCCTGGAGTTGTACGTTGGAAAGACAGGTCCAGTGGTGGCTCCTCTCACTTCCTTCCTCCCACGTGGAGCGCCGACAGGACTGGCCACGTGGGCTGTGGACCCGTCTTGGTCACTGCTCCTCTCCAGCCTGCACCTCAACCGCCTGTGTGCCCGCTGCGTCCACAGACACACCTGCCAGAGAAACCTTCGTGTTACTCAGTGCAAGCAAGGGGCACACTCGCAGCACCACAGGACAGCTTCGTGAGCTTGGCTTTGTTGGAATGGGATTTCTGATCACTCAGATCAGGCTAATTAGGATTACTCCATTCTAAACCCAGCTTGATATATGTATGCCGGAAGAAGGTCCACTAAGATACAAAGTGTCACCACCAGGCATGGGGGCACACTGCTCTAGTCCCAGCTACTCACTTATGAGGCAGAAGGATTGAAAATTCAAGGGCAAGCCAGGCACAGTGGTGCACACCTGTAATCCCAGGCTGAGGCAGGAGGATCTTTGTGAGAAAGACCAGCCAGAGCTACAACGTGAACTCAAGGCCCGCCAGAACTGCATAGTGAGACCCTGTCTGAAAATAAACATGGGCCGGCCAGGCGTGGTGGTGCCTGCTGTAATCGGGAGGCTAGTGTGGGCTGCGATTACAGGCATCCGACCCCATGCCAAGGAATAATTGTACCTTCATGTAACTTTTCCTATGAAAAAATATCCATTCATAAAAAGATTAAATTCATTTTAACTGAAAAATGCTAACAGTCATAATATTCAGCTGAAAATTTTTCTTTTTACTTTTTTTTTTTTTTGGCAGAACCAGGGATTGAATTTAGACCCTTGGGTTTGCCAGGAAAGCGCTTATTCTACTGAGCCATCTCCCCAGCCCCTGGATGCAACATTTTCCAACATAGTTTTTTCTTAATTTTTTTTTTTTTTTTTAAGACAAGGTCTCACTATGTAGTTCAGGCTGCCCTCAAACTCAAAATGATCCTCCTGCCTCAGCCTC